TGTTCACTCACCAATATATTTTTTAATGAAATCCAGCGTAAACTATGAAAAAAAAAACAGCTCTGAAAAACTTTCAATTATAACAGCTCCCCCATCATATTTCATACTACCCACCTCAATCTCCCATAATGACTCTTACTGAGCTTTAACTCATTCACGCGCATGAGAGCCAATCTGAGTATGTATGTGTATAGTATATATATATTTATATTATTGGCGTTTTGTAACCGCTGAAGCGATTTTGGGCCGAGCTCCTCCATCATTTTGTGTTGTGCGTCCAACAAATTACGGCCTCTCCGAACGGGTGATGGTTTTTTTTATTACACACAGGGCTTGCTATTCCCTACCGAAGAGTGGCCGCATATAGAATAAATGAACTTAAATTTTTTATTTAAATTCAATTTCTATAATTATTAGACGTTGGTCGGAACAGGTTTCGAACGCTGATCTTCTGAAGTGCAGTATGCAATGCCAACCGCTCGGCTATGGTGACCGCGAGTGATGAGTGATTACTATTTCAATATTTGCAATTCCAATTGAATCAAAAGAAACTTATACATATTTATGTACAGACATATAAACATATTTTTTGGACATTTTATGGCACATTTCGCCGAAAAAACACACTCGTTTAAATATAGTAAACGCCAATGTCACGATTACTAAAACAAACAATGCCAAACGGCGCATAAATAATAATAATAATAATGGTAATAATGCTAAATTATAAAAAAGCAAAAAAAATAAAATAAAGAGGCGAACGGAAATGAATAATATGTAGTTGTTGTAAATTTCGTAAATCGTTGAATGAATTCGTTTGTGGGACTGACTATTATTTTCATTTTTTTTATTATTAAAAACCAGTAGACGTGGCCACACATTGTGGTTGTTTTCTGAATTTTGTTAAATTTTTAATCTAATTGATATTGGTAAAAATCGATTCATGAGCTGAGACTGATTATATTGCTGCGATTGTGGTAAACCAGCGACCTTGAAATATTCTTTCCTTTCCCCCGACATCCTTCTCCTCTCCACCGAAACTGGAAGTAAGATGTACTAGATCTCAGTACAGTAAAATTTATCACGAAACCTGTCTCCAGATCGAAAAACTCACAGTCATATCGATCATGTTGTGATGGGCGGAAGACATACCACCAGTGCTCTATCGACTCGGACCAATATCTTGTCGAAGCAAAAATACCTTTCTGTGCAACAAGAAAAGCCCGTTAATAAACAGAAGCGCTTAAAACCTCTTTCTTTTTTGTCTACAAATACGTTTTTGTTCCCTTTTCAGCTCTCGTTATCTATCCCCCCGCACTTGTTGTGATCGATTGCAATGTTGCTTGGAAGCCAGATTTCTTTACACTGCTGTTCTCCCCTCATCATTACACCTGCTTCTTAAAACCAATTAATTACGTACCGGCGGTACGTAAGGAGTTTTAGATACCATACCACAGTTCATTAAAATCGATTTGCTGATGAGTGCTCTTAGAAAGTGTTCGGTTCTTTGTTGTGATTGCAGCTTTTTGACGTCGAACCTTCTTTGTGCGACAAGTTTGTGATTCGGGATCGATGTTCGTCCTCGGAGCGTACACATATCTAGAACACTGGAGATATGTCTATGCGGTGACAGGCAACTTGCTTGTTGCTTTTTCTTGTGAGAAAATCTGGTACTACAGACAACCATCAAAAATGCAATCAAATTTAAATTAAAATATTTTCAATTGGATTTCTGATTATTTTCACATACAAAATATGAACGGCAGTTATCATTTCCGGACTGACTTTGTACAATTATTAGATCCTTTCTGCCGTACAAGCAAATAAAAAAAAAACATGAGGAAGAGCACGTTTTGGAATTTGTCGTAGTGCCGACCTGCTCCCAAAATCTATCGAAAAGGCTGGATTCAAGTGAGGAGTTTATCCTAAGTCAGCACGATACGGTATCTCAGGATACTCAAGTTATGAAACGTCAACATCAAAAGCAGCGCTTATTTTAAATCTGCCTAAAAATCAGACTAAAACTGGAACTTGCTTTCTCCTGATACAAAAATACTTATTATCGACGACGAATTAACCGTACTTTTTTGAAGCAGGTGGTTAAGTTTATTACATTGTGACAAATTTAATAAATTTTAAATATGTCCTAAGTGACAGGTGATTATTTATGGACATCTTAAAAAACTAGTTCAGACAGTATGGCTGCATGGCGGAAGCCAACATCCTTCAGTGCCAGTTGCTCATGGTTTCGATATGAAAGAGACTTACGAAAATATGAAATTTAATCTTAAAAAAAAAAATAATACAATAAACATGCTTGGGAAGTTTGTGGCGATTTTAAAGCCATGGCATTCCGCCTGGAAATTTTGCTCTTTTATTTGCGAATGGAGTCAAAAAGAGACCCTTTATTGAACCTTGATTACATTTTTTACCACACATTACATAAAGCTGGGGCTGATAAAAGTTTTGCTAAAGATATGGCGTAAGATGGCAGTAAATTTTTATATTTGAAAACGAAATTCCCGAAACTCAGGGAGGCGAAAATTCAAGAGGGAATATTGCTAGGCTCACAAAGAGGGCAGCTGATAAGGGATGAGACCTTTGAAAAATAGCTGAATGACCAGGAAAAGCTTGCCTGACATTGGCTTGTCAATGTTTCCAGAACTTTCTTGAAAACCATAATCCAGAAAACTATAAATAATTAAGATAATTAAGAAATGCCTCACGCAATGTAATAGGCTTTAAAAATACATTTCACTGACTGCCATTTGGAATTCTTTCCTAAAATTTGGGTGCTATGAGAGAGGAACGAGATGAGACGTTTCATCAGGAAATTTACTTAATTGAAAAGCGCTATCAAGGGTTAAAATGTCACAAGAAAGATTTAAATTTGGTTGACAAAAGTTGTTTATACCGTTACATACGACCGTTAGGTAAATAATCTTCATTTACCTTGTCTACAAAGTATAACGTATTTTATTAATAATTATTATAGTCATAAAAAATTTGAATTTCTAAATAACATTTATATGTACGTACATATGTATATACGAGTAATGCAAAGAAGTATGCGAAAAATCCCCTAAAATGCTGTGTAAACAACAAAGCTTGAGCGACTAGTATTGGAAAAGCTATTCAAGTTTTTACATACATCTGTATAACATACATAAGTTTGTAGATATGTTTGTACATAAAGAGCTTTCTCATATTATAATATTAGTATATGCACACATACAATACATAAGTTATAAACAAACAGAATCTGGCTTAGACCCTTAAATCTTAATCGAAGCCGCCCATTTGGCTCGAATAGCAACAGAAACAGCATTGAAAGCTTTAAAAACCCCACCACCACACATACATTCATATTCAACTCACAAGCTATTAACTGACTATTAATTGCACGCTTGAAAATGGCCAAGCACACTTAGCGTTTTGATATTATTGAACTTCGCCATTAGTTTCAAAATGCGATTCTTCATAAAGCGTACATTTCAGCTGCCGCAATTAACGAATTATAATTCTCAAAATCCCAATGATGGTGGTGGTGTGCACAAACAAACAGTAGCTGCCACAGAGAAACTCTCTGAAGGAGCTCTTGTCAAGTCGGAGCCTGATCATTCGAATAATGTGAATAGTATTCAAAGTGCTGAAATTGTAGTGGAAAATAAATGTAAATTCATTAATTCGTAATAAAAACTAATAATAATAAGAATTGTTGCTGGTAATGCTTGAATAGTGGACAAAAAATAAATATATTATATAAGGTGTGCCTGAATGAATGTCGGATCAACCCACAGCTTAAACCACTGATCGTAAAGTTCTGAAACTTGTAGAGTGTGTTCTGCATATGACTTAGGCGTCCATTTGAAAATGATTTTCCAGGAAATGGACCTGGAACCGATGTGCACGAAAAAAATTTATTTATTTTCAAATCGTTCGATTTACACGAAAATTTGTTCAAACTTCTTTAAATTACTATTGGGAGCATTTATTCTTTCGTGAATTCGGCCTGTGGTCGATTTATTTGAAAAATAATATTAATGGTTCGATATGCTTGATATGTAATATGAAAATCGTTTCGGTAAGGGAAGTGTGCCTTAAGTAAAAAAAAATATATTATATATATTTGGAATATAAACTGCTTAAACCAGAGATTGATCTGTTTTAGAACATTAATTTGTTCTATTTTTGGAATATAGATTCCTCTTTTACTAGGCTAATATGTGGAAACTATTATTTCTGTACCGATGAATTTGAAAAAATATATTTTGGGTTCGATTTGCTTCAAATTTTCAAGTTTTAAAATATATCGATTAACTCACGGATGTTTTCAAGATGAAAAAATGTATATGACTTAGTGCTTTAACCAAGAATTTGACCGATTTTCGACCATTTTTGTAACAATTGGTGTTATATATTTATCAGCAATAATTCGCCGAATATTCTCTTTATTCTTTTCCAAGGCGTCAATTGTCTCGATCTTATCTGCGTAGACAGGCGACTTCACATAAAGCCTCAAAGAATAGTACCGCGGTGTTAAATCGCACGAATCTGAAGGCCATGCTACATTCAAACGACGCGTGATAATGGGTTCACCAATTGTTTCCTTCAATAAACTCATTGTTTCGATGGTTGTATGGTACGAGGCGCCGTCTTATTGGAACCAAATGTCGCAGTAATAGCGTCATCGATGCGCACTGCACAGCATATCTGACGATACGCATTATCCACTAGTGTAAATGTGGTCCGAAATCGATCCAAGATTGTTCGACTTTCTTACTCTGACCAAATATTGGAAATTGATTGGCACGATTTTCAAACGTTGTTCCGGAGTAAGTCTGTTAAATATAAAGTGGAGCACCAAATTGTGTATAAAACTGCTGTTAAAAAGACTAGCTCTGATCTCATTGAAAACCATACCCACAAGAGACAAGATATATTTAATGTTAATTTAAGTTTTAATCTCCATTTTTATTGTCTACAATTTTACTTTTCAGCTCTCGAAGAGCTCAAGCCGATTAAAAACGGTGAATTTCAAGACACAAAAGTTGTGATTGACACAGTGAAATACGAGCAACCGCCAGAGAAAAATTGGATTCTACGGCGCTTATACTTTTTGAATTGGCTAAAGGCCTATGATCGTGAAACTGCTATAGCGGATTTGATTGCCGGCGTCACATTGGGTCTGACGATCATACCACAAAGTATCGCATATGCTGCACTCGCCGGACTCTCTTCGGAATATGGCTTGTACTCGGCTATTGTCGGTAAGTGTGTACTATATACTACTATACAATCATATATATTTATTAAAACTTTTTAAAATTTTTTATTTAAGTTTTGCCAGAATATATTACTAAAATATTTTTTTCGATCTTGGAACTACAATAAAAATAAATAATATAAAATTTTATCTTAGGCAAAGTGTTTTATGCACTATTCGGCACAATTCCACAAGTTTCCATTGGACCCACAAGTTTAATGTCACTCATGGTACTGCAATTTGTTGGAGAACGACCGGTGGAATTTGTTTTTATTCTTTCATTTATGGCCGGTCTTGTGGAGCTCTTAATGGGTGTATTCCAGCTGGGTAAGTTTAAGAAAATTTTCGAAAAAAAATATAAGGTAGATATTTCATGAAGTTTTAAGCTCATCGGCAGCCTTAGTCGAGGGGATCACGCATTAGTCTCGAAGCTCCGCTGTAGCACGTTTTTGGCTAACGAGAAGACTTATGTTAGCAACACTTTTGGGGTTTCAAACATTTTAAGCTAAGAGAAAATTATTTTAACTTTTCAAAATGAAACTAAAATACCAGTCGCTTTCAAGTATATACTTTATGCTCAAAAATAATGATAAAAATTGTTTAAGAACTTTCTGAGTTAAGCTGGTATAAGCATTGAAAATATGACAATTTTTACATATTAAGTGCAGATTTATAGGTTAGGTTAGGTTGAACCGGTTGACCTTTGTGTTGTCTGCTACACTCCTATTGCGTCTTTAGTGCGAAGAGCATAGCTATTAATTTTATTTTTCTTACCAAATTTACAAAAAAAAAGTGTGGACAAACCTTCACTAAATTTAAAATAAACTTTCTGTAAGAATCACTATATACATATTTTGGGCAAAACCACAGGAAACCCCATTCAGTAGTTTTCGAGTTTATTGCGAACTGGCAGACAGACGCGGAGTATTTTTCATCATAAATTCATACTAATAAATTTTGAGGGAGTAGTTAGTGTTATGGGTATTTGGGTACAAAAGAAACCTGTTCGAGGCTTTTCCAAATATATTTTAAACGATCTTATTTAATAGTTGTTATTTTAACCGTTTCATGAGAACCCGGTGTAGTTTTTGCTCGTTTAAGGTCACTTAAATTTGTATCCTTAATAAGTTTGAGATCGGGCTAAAGTCAGATGAGTGAAAACTTCAATAGAGAATCGCAATATTTAGAAGCTTTACCGATTCTTTACTCATTTGAAATTTTATTTTACCTGCACATTTTCGTCTTACTGCATTTCATTCGAATCTTCAAAACCATCAAAAGAAGTTTAATTACAAAGACGATGTGATGTAAACGATCTTATTAGAGACTTCTGGCTTTTCAAATCGAAGTCAAAGTTAATTCGATTAAGATCTAACCGGTTTTTTTTAATTTAAAAAATTTATACAATTTTTTTAGACCAGAGAAGTTGTTTTTTTTTTTATTTTTTTTTTATTCTTTACTGGCTTAGGTACTGCCAGCGCGCCATTCAACAATTGGAAATACTAAGTATGGCCGGGATCTTCTCATACTGGTCTTTCCTACGAAGTGGAGATCTTGCCCTGCTTCCGCCGGCGGGTACTGTTTAGAAAACAATCAAAGCTGTAGTATTCTTAACCATCCGGACTACATGATCTAGCCAGCGTAGTAATTGTCTCTTTCTATGGCGCTGTATATTTCGTACAGCTTATCTTTCCATCATCATTTCTCTTGAATACTTCTAACGCCGACTCATCAAATATAGGAGAATGTGAATCATGATTGATTTGTAAAGTTATTTTTGGTTGTCAAGGGAAGACTTTTTTCAATTGCCTACTCAGTCCAAAGTAACATAAGTTGGCAAGAGTGGTTCTTCGTTTGATTTCAAGGCTGACATTGCTCTCGGTGTTAACGCAGCCGTACACTGTTATAGCAGATTATAGATTCTCTATTCATATAATGATCTCATGAATGTGGCTCTTATTACATTGTAGATCAACTATGAAATTATCATTTGTCAGCTAACTAAGCTACCGTAGAGATATGAAAAAGTAAATTGGAAATGAGAAAAAACCCACATCAGATTTTTAATGAGTTTCAATTGTAAAAATATTTTTCACGCAATTATTCCATTATTACAACAATTAGTAACAATGCAATATTTCCTTTTTCTCAATTTAATGATCTTCTATCTTCTATCTACAATAATAATAATTTACTACGGGGACTAAGTTGATAAGCAAATTATTATTATTTTGCGGCTGAGTCAATTTTGTTTGTCAATGGAATTTTGATGTTCAACTAATTTTCACACTTACGTATACGCTGAAAATAAAATAGAAGTATTCTATATTTAAACTTTTTCGCACATTAACACTTCTATGTATATATTGTATGTTTGTAAATAGTTAAATTTATTTTTACGAATTTCTAGTTAGTAATATTGACATAATGACTAAACATGGATTCGCCATAAATACTCGTAGCTATGAATACTTGTGATGAAAAAAATCAACGAAAAGATTTTGTTGCTCCTTAAATTTATTTGGCATGAAGTTTTTCAATATTTTAAGGAATACTTTTCAAGTGATTTCTGTACAACTTTCAACCAAGCAGCCAATACTAAGGTGATTGGTTCAGAAATGGACATTCTTCTACTTCTCTTTTAGTGGCGTACAAATAGCTTAAGCGGTGGCCATTTGGCACCAATTGGAGATGGCAAGCAAAGTCTTGTTCGTTTCTATGTGATCTTTCCAACAGATTAGATATCTTCCTCTTCTTTTTCTTTCATGAGCGGGTATTACATTAAATACTTTTCGAGGAGCGTCCATTCTAACAATATGAACCGCAGCCGCAGTCGAAATATCGGAATGGTTAGCGGAACGTACTACGGAATAACAGGGCTAGAAATGTCAGGGCTCGAGTCTGGATGTGAGCAACATTCAAAATTACAGAAAATTAGTTTGCCTAATTGTGGAAAACCCTTCAAGTGTATTAATTAAGCTAAACGGTAGATCCCTCCACTTTATGGAAAAACATCAATATGCAAACCGCAAATAGAAATAGCAGCTCGAACGAAAATCGCTGATGTGTTTACCAAATGCCAATTATATACTATATAGTATATAGCATTAGGGGAATTTAACCATTATTTTTGCATTAAGTTGTAGACTTTATTTACTATAGTTAGAGTTATCTGATTTATATCAAATAAGCAGCATTTTACTTTTTGCCATTTCGAAGGTAATGACATTATGCCTCTCTCATAGATACCTCTGTCCCTATTGGTAAATAATTGGCACAATCGATTTTGATAGGCTTCTCTTGAGGCCAATTATTGCTCAGCCAAATCATTCACCATAGACAGAAACGGTTAGTAATCACTTGGTGTGAAGTCCGTCTATTAAGTGAATACATTGGAGCCTCCCAACCAAGCTCTCGCAGCTTCAGGCGAGTCAATATGGTTGTGTCTAATGATCCAACTACTCACAGTATAGGTCCAAAGCTGCAAGTTGGCCTCAGGAGAGCAGCTCGTGATTCCTTGCCAATCAAACCAAACACACAGCAAAACCTTACTGTGTATATTTCTCTTTATGCAGCTGCGGAACACGCTTGAATCATATGTGTTTTCAAAAGGTTGATGTCACATGCCACACAACACGAGCAAATATGGCTTTATTGCAAGAGAAAATTTCCGCTCGCGTAATTGCTCGTTATGGCGATGTCAATTGTCACTTTTCCATGGGGCTATGCGAAAGACCTTGTTATGCGAATAGCTATGGCTGTGATAGCCAATACGAAAATTTCTAATTCCCACTTATAAGAATTTTTCGTCGTCCAGGTACCGTGACTCTGCCCAAAGTAGCACTTTAGCGACAACAGTGATTAGAAGCTGGATTGCAATTTTTTAAAATTGTTGTTGGGAATTATGCGTCTTCCAAGGCAAAGAAATTGTTTGCTGAAGATATTTTTGCTTTGTTCTCGTTGACTATTATATTCAAACGCTTCACCAACATGTCCAATCTGGAGAAAGCAGAACTCAGAGCCTGGTTTGTGAAGCTTGTGATAACAATATCATAGGCAGATGCCAGAAGCTGCGCTCAGCTCTACAGCTCTAAGTATTTTCTCCAGCAACAAATTATAGAAGTCACTCGATAAGAAATCTCCTTGACTGAAACCTCGTTTGGTATCGAACAACTCGGAGAGGTCGGTCCTAATCCCGGACGGTGCTTTTGGCGCTGCTTGAAGTCAGTTTACACAGTCATAAAAAAAATTTGTATACAAAACATCTGTGATGGATAGAGTTCTGCTAGAATGGAGTGTGTAGGGTTCATTAGTAAATCGAAATACTTTTATGTATATGCTTCATATTTTAAATTGCTACATTTTCATTTTCTCCATAGGTTTCATCGTCAACTTTATACCAACGCCGGTAACGAAAGCTTTTACCAGCGCCACCGCTTTCATTGTGGCTGCAGTACAATTCAAAAGTCTTTTGGGTCTAAAGGGAAAAGGTCTACCATCGATTGGTGAGGTCTTTAAAAAGATACATTACTCTGATACAATACTCGGCTGTATTTGCTTGGTTACGTTGCTCGCTCTGAGAGTTAGTAATATTTTAGATATTTATCTAATAAAACAGAAACTAATCTTTATCTTCTCCTCCAGAAATTGTCGCATATAAATTTCAAAGAGAGCACACCAACTACACGCAAATTGCAGAAGTTCTTCTGGTATATAAGCATCTCTCGCAATGCTTTGGTTGTATTCATTTGTAGCGCAGTAACATTTATTTGGGTGCAAAAACGCTCTGTCGAGGCAATTCCTTACACTCTCACGACTAAAGTCACTTCCGCACATTTGACCTTTAGTTTGCCGCCATTCGTGCTTGATTACAAAAATACCACACTCGTATTTACCGATATCATACACGAGCTGGGCAGCGGTATTTTGGTGGTGCCGATTGTGGCAATTTTAGCAAATGTCGCTATCGCGAAAGCTTTCGGTGAGTTTGTTAAGTCTTCGCTGGTAGAATTGGTTTGCATTGAATAACTTCTTCTTTCTACTTAACACTCGTAGTCAAGGACAATCGCTTGGATGCTTCTCAGGAAATGCTTACGTTGGGTATTTGTAATCTGAGTGGCGCATTCTTCAATTGTATGCCAACTTGTGGTGCTTTCACACGTTCCGCTGTCAGTCAGGCGAGTGGTGTACGCACTCCACTCAGCGGCATATATACAGGTGAGGATTTCAAAAATTAAATAAATAAAATAAATTAATTTTCTTTGTTTTTCTTGTAGCCTTGTTGGTTTACTTGGCGCTCAATGTGCTGACACCTTACTTCGGTTTTATACCGAAACCAGCGATCGCAGCAATGCTTATTGCAGCAGTGGTGTTTATGGTAAGTTAATTTTCGATTCTCAAACGGAATGCAATAAATAACCTTTGACCTCGTACTAAGTGTATTAAGGTAACGATAAGTGCCTTAGAAACGACAAAACCTTCATTAATCGGTTAATAGCTTCATTTGAAAAGTTAATCCGGACGGTTACTAAGTGTTATTCTTCTTACGTGATTTTACCCGAGTGAACAACAGTTAACTCAGCTGTTCAACACCAGGTCATTTTCCAATTGATCTTTTAAACATAGCGGAATATGTCTTAATCTTTCTTTATTGCATCGAAAGCTTTCAAAGCTGAAGTATACTTATTCAACAGGACGGCATGACGTAACTGCTGTTTCTTGATTCTCTGAACTATGTCAATGTCGCCATATGTCTAGTACAGTTCATCTTTTCATCGGCGGCGGTATTCGCCGTTGTCTGACGCCGACTCTTCGGGTGTTATCACTCTACATTCACCCACACCATATAGTAGGAACGAAACGATGAGCGACTTGTAGAGTTTGGTTTTTTTTCGTCGAGAAAATACTAATTTTTCGTCTAACACTAAGTCCAAAGTAGCACCTGTTGGCAAAAGTGAGTCTGCTTTGGATTTGCAGGCTGAAATTGTTGTCGGTGTTAATACTGTAACCAAGACTGTCCATAGTGATGTATGAGCCGAATTCCCAATGCGAAGATTGTTTTTTGATGACAGGAAATATTTTGTCGTGACCTCGTTCACTACCAGCAACATTCGATTCGCTCCTTTATCCAGTCTGAGAAAGCAGAGCTCACAGCGCGTTTGTCGAGAACAATGACATCAATTTCATCGGCATGCGCCAGTAGCTGTACTCGCTTATAGAAGAATGAATTAATAGAAGTATACAATAAAGAGTCATCTTGTCCTTCACGATCCTAACGAAGGTTTGGCGTTGATTAACGTTGGTTTGCACATCCGTACATATTTTGCATACGACATTCAGACCTAACGGCGTATGGACAGCTCATTTTCGCGCTGTCGAAGGCTACCTTAAATCGACGAAAATGTGGTGTCTGTCGATACTCTTTTCTCGGGTCTTTTCCAAGATTTGGCGAGTGGTGAATATCCGATTAATTGTGGGACTACCCGGTCTAAGCCAAACTGATATAGTCTACAATACAATTTAATTGTGGACACGGTTAGCCTTCTCCTGGTGTTCCATTTTAACTGAAATTCAGCAGGCTGGCTACGCATTTCCTATCAGGATCACTTCTCTGGATCCTACAAAGTTAAGTATGTAAGCCATCGCACCGACTGCCGACTTTTTGGAGTGAAGATCAGGCAGAGGCATTTCAAGAGCTCCCAATGCATCAATGCATATGGGCTGATGGCATCAATGGACCGTACTTTTTCAAAGATGATGTGAATCGTAATGTAACTGTGAATGGTGAGCGCTACCGTGAGATGATATCACACTTTTTTCGCCCAAAAAGCAAGAGCTTTACTTATATGACATTTGGTTTCAACAAGATGATGCCTCATGCCACATAGCACGCGTAACAACGTATTGAGAGGTGTGTTCGGTGAACTTTTTAATTTAAGTTCGGGGCCGTTCAATTGGCCACCTTGATCGTGAAATTTAACGTCTTTAGACTGTTTTTTGTGGGGCTATGTTAAATCTACTGTCTATACAGACAAGCCCGCTTCAATTGACACATCGGAGGACAACATTGAAACATTTATTCGTGAGCAACCGCTCGAAATGTTGGAAGGAGTATGCCAAAAATTGGGCTTAGCGGATGGAGCATGGATGAAATTATCTTCAAACATTGAATTATGTACACCGTTCAATCGATTATGTGTTTTTTTTTTTAAAACTTTTCTATAGCTCTTAAAAAATCACCCTTTATATGGCGAGCAGCTTGCTTCAAGATGGTTGCCCGCTCGCAGGCGAATCTCTGGTGAACAGACACTGCTATTGTATTTCACTGAATCCTTAAATCGTATATGTCGGAGTGGTTCCGTTGAAGCTTTCTCTCTTTTTCCGCAATCCACAGCTCCGTACGGAATGGCTGCCGAATCTTGCACAATGGTTGCTCACGCTTCTTAGTCGCTAGAGTAGAATTCGAGTGTAGGCTTGCGACCGTAACTTCATACCCAGAAGCTTAATTACACCGCACAGATTACTCGTATATACAGACCATCCCCATAATAATTTGATTTTAGCTTTATATATTATTTTAATTTGAATATTTGACCAAAAATTCCTTTCAGATCGACTTCTCTCCAATTAGAGAACTTTGGCACACAAATAAGAAGGATTTCATCAGCTGGGTAGGCTGCTTTATTGTTTGCATTGGTGCTGGTGTAGAAGTGGGTCTGTTCTTTGGAATTGTGATGAATATGGTATTCGTACTTTTACGATTAGGCAATCCCAAAGTGGAGGTGACTTTGAAAGAGGTGAGCATAATATTAAATATTATACATATCTTTTTTTTTTTTCAATTTAAAAAATAATTCCAAATAATAATTCATAATTTTTTTCTCTTTGTTTTTCTTTTTTCCTTTAGTGTGAAAATCGTAATTACATATTCGTGAGCCCTTTATCCGATATTTACTATTCGGGCATCGAGTATATACGGGACAAAATCAACGATGCCTGTTTGTTGTATCGAGATGACTTTCCAGTCGTTTTGGATTGTCGCCGCTTCATGCAATTCGATGCAACATTTGTGGATGTTGTTAGCGCCGTGGCAAAGGAATTGCACGAACGCGGTGTTTTGTTGGTACTCTACGGTCTTCGTGAGGATTTGCAAAAGTTAATGCATAAATCCAAAAATATTAATTTCTGTGAGAATGAACGTATTTGTTCCGCCGATTTATCGCCAAAGAAACCAGTGAATATAAAAACGAATTGAATGTGGAATGTCTGAAATGAGGGTGGAAAAAACATTAGTTTTACTGAAGAAAGGTACTTAATGAAGTATTTGAAATAAAAGGATGGACATAAAGTAAATAAATAAGTTCCTCACTAGTCATAAGCCTCGTTATAGCCATTTATAGATAATTGTTATTTAGTTAAAAAAAATGTATGTATTTATAAAACTATTCGTTATCTTGAATGAAATGTTAAATGAAATAAAAAAACGAGACACAAATAAATTTATAAATATTAAAATCACGATCTAAATAGACAGCGTCTTTTGCATTAGTTTACAACAAGCTGAAAATTTATTATTTTATTTCAAATTGTTTAACTTTTTTTATTTTATTTTGTTCATTTAATTTAATTAATATTAATTTTATTTCGTTTACCTTAATTTTGTTTCGTTTAATTTAATTTTATTTATAATTTACAATAATTTAATCTATTTATTATTTAATTAATAAATGTTTGTTTTAGTACATTTAATTATATTATATATTTTATTATTTTATCGTTTTCTCCTGTTTAATCTAAATTATTTTAGTTTCAATAATTTAGAGTTACGTTATTTTATTTTATTTGTTTTGTTTAACTTTATTTAATTTAAATTAATTTTATTTTAATCAATTTAATTTAATTTAAAGTTATTTATTTTACTTAATTTTGCATTCTTTTTTAAATAATTTTTGTTAACTTTTTTTAAATTTTATTTAGTCATTTTTAATTAATGAATATCAATTTAATTTTATTTTATTTATTTTACGTTGTTTAATTTCCTTAAAATTCGGTTCAGAGGTGGCTTTGTACGCAAAAATCACAGTTCCTTTTCTTCAAATTGTGACCTAAAAAAATACGTGGTGCGACCTAAAGTACTTAATGAACATATGTATAGTTTTAAACTTTTTTTTCAATATAGTCGCCCTCAAGTGAAATATACTTTTCACATCGTGAATGCAATGCCTTTATACCAATGAAAAAAGATTCTTTAGAATTATCTTCAAAATGCCGCTTTCATCTCTTTGTCGTCAGAAAATTTTCGTTACCGTAACTGCTTTTTTAATGAAAAAAGGAAGAAATCACTGGGAGCCAGGACCGAACTTTAGAGTGGAAAAAAAGCACTCCCCGCGCTAACTTGCAAGGTCTCTTCTGTACGACTGCTTCACGCGTCGGGTTCAACAACTCAGCGTAATGCTGTCCGTTTATTGTTCCCTTTGGCAAGTAGTTAATCTGCGACACCGACTTTTCCACTTTGAATTTCCATTGCATCGACTCGGGATCATACTGATGAATTTAAGTTTCCGCAACTGTTACAATGCGGTTGCAAATTTTTTACCAAATCATCTTGGCATAACTCCGAAAAATCTTAAAAACTCTCAAATCGTAATTACTTGTCGAGCGGCGTAAGCTTTCACTATACTCAACGCACACTCAATTCCTTCATATTCAAATGTACAGGCAAAATCTGTTCAGCAAATTGTTAATCCTTTTGCTATCTGTCACATTTAAATTCTTCGATCAGCCTGTACTAATTTTTCGAACTTTTTGAAAGTTTTCTTCGGTCACGACCGTCACTGGGCGGACATCTTTATAGGTCTCTCTTCCATATTAAAACAGCCAAGTACATCTTATCAGCATCTTATAGGAAGGGGCAGAGTTCTGAAGAACTGATGACATCTATTTCAAAATTTCTTTCGGCTTACTTCCGTTGCTCCGAATTCGGAGAATTTCTAGTTTCTGTTGACATAGTTTTTTTTTGCTTGTTTCAGGAACGAAATAATAATAAAAAGAGTTGTGTCATTTATATTAATAATAAGTCCCGCAGTTAGTAACGGTGACAAGATGATGAGTTATCTTCAACTTCCTTAGGACGATAGATTATCAGCTGCCCCATGGAAGTAGTTAGATAAATATTTAGTATAATGGAAAACTTAATATTTAGACACAGATGGGGCCTCATTACGATTTTTTATCGTTTTGTTTTTCAAAATCAATTTTACTTTTAATTTATTCATATTTAAATTTAAATTTATATGTATAAATATGAGCAAATATATGACAAACAGAACAAAAATAAGAAGCAACAACTCAGATCTATTGCTTTGAAGAACACGATCTTTCTTAAACGCGAAATGCTGTTTACCCAGTACGTAAGTATGTACGAGTATAAATACTAATTAAATGCCTTTAAGCGACCGACCAACTTTAAAGATCTATACACTTCGATGATTTATGATGACATAGGAACATACATATATATTCGCGTACATAAGTCTTTACTCCGGTCGGCTGCTTTTATTCACTTAGTTTTGATGATTTTCTGCACTGCGACATCCTCAGGCGAAATAAATTATAATAAATAAAGCAAAAGTCAGTCGTATATGTAAGTAAGTAAAGTATATGTAGATACATATATCTATGTACGAGTATGTATGTACACGTATGTCGCAAAAAAGTCCCCAGTTTGTAGTGTAACTGCTGACGTTCGTTGTTGAACAAGAAAATTAGAAATCAAAACAATTACTGTTTATTTAAATACCTACTTATATGTACAAACATACATACATACATATATACAAATACATATATTATATATGTATATTTGTTATTCTTTGTATTATAAATTTCTTCGAATTTCGGCGCGAATTCTCGTCATATTTGTTTAGTAAATGTTAGTTACGCTTTTTACGTTAATTTATTGTTGATGAATAAATAAATATTTAGGTACGTAGCAATGCAAATACTTACGAGTATAAAGACTTTAGTTTTTACATTTTTAAATGCGAAGTTAAGTAGCTTTCAAAAGCTTAAGTAAGTTCAAAGAAATTTTATTCATTTATTTATACACATACACATATGTATTTATAGAGTCCGGTTAATCCGGTTGATTAGACGCATTATTTATATGTTTATATTTTTTATGCAAACATAAATTTATCGTTCTGTTAACAGATCTGCCTCTGGTCCAGCTCCCGGTAAGAACAACAGTCTTCATATTATTCTAAGTAAAAAGACACCTTAAGCAGAGGAATTTTGAATAAGTGGGTCTCTGGTGTAGATCAAGAAGAGAAGAAATTCTAATCAAAGGTATAAGGTTGTCAAATATCTCCCTTCCGCTTTTTTTCTCTTCATTCAATGCTTTATAAAAAGTGTTACAGTGATCGATGATCTTTTTCCATCTAGACGGCAACTTCATAATACCTTCCTCGTAGAAGCCCCCCTCCTTATTTGCGAAGAATTCGGACAGCCACTTTTCACAAGCCTCTTTGGAGTTTAACTTCACACCACCAAGGGCATTCGCCATGGACAGGAACAGGTGGTAATCACTTGGCGCTACGTCCGGGCTATATGGTGGATGCGATAAAACTTCCCATCCAAGCTCCCGTAGCTTCTGACGAGTCATCAACGAAGTGTGTGGTCTGGCGTTGTCCTGGTGAAACACTAAACCCTTCCTGTTGGCCAATTCTGAACGCTTCTGGTGGATCGCCTGCTTCAAGCGGTCCAGTTGTTTGCAGTAGATGGTAGAATTAAGCGTCTGGCCATATGGGAGCAGCTCAAAGTGGATGAGTCCCTTCCAATCCCACCAAACACACAGCAAAACCTTTCTGGCCGTCAATCCCGGCTTGGCCAATGTTTGGGACGATTCACCGGCCTTCGACCACCACTGTTTGCGCTTGATATTGTCGTATGTGATCCATTTTTCGTCGCCAGTCACCTTCCGCTTCAAGAATGGGTCGAGTTCGTTCCATTTCAGCAGCATTTCGCAGGCGTTGATTCGGTCCAGAAGGTTTTTTTTGCGTCAAATTATGTTCACCCAAACATCAAACTTTTTTTTGTATCCAGCCTTCTGCAGATGGTTAAAAATGGTTTGGTGACTAACACCCATCTCCTGGGCGATGTCACGAGATGCCATATGCCGGTCTAACTCGATGCATTCCATGATTTGATCGGTATTTGTCGTCACAGGTCTTCCGCCGGCTGGCTTATCCATGGTGTCGTTTTCACCGGCTCTGAATCGTCGAAACCATTCCTCCGCGGTTCGAAGTGATAGAGTACCATCCCCCAAAACACCATTAATTTCACGGAACGTTTCTCTAGCGGATTTGCCTTTAACGAAGGAAAACTTTAAAAAAGCGCGAATTTCGGCGTTAGTGAACTCCATGTTTACACGTATATAACTGTTGAACGCAATATCCAAACTAATCATGCATAGCGTTGTTTTGTAGGTTATGTCAAGACCGTTCAAATTAGTATAGTGTTGCCAGATACGAGCTCTGTAGCGCTTTGTACATAGCAGCGAAATTCAAAAGACAAAAAAGCGGAAGGGAGATATTTGACAAACTTATATTATTTATATTAAAAATAGCAACAAATAATTTCCAAAGCCCACAAGTTTTGACGGATCGAGTAAAATGTCAACTCGATATATTGTGCTTTGAAAGTCTTTCCAGTCGCCAAACCAAGCACCGAGGTTAGGCTTAGTCAAAGAAATACAAAGGTGGGGGGGAATCGTTTGGTCTCCGCAGTGAGATGAACAAATCATAAAGTATGCATCCATCTTTGCTTCTTTAACGTCTGAAAAGAAGATATTGGCAGGTATTACAGCGAATAAATCTCTGGAGCGAAGGTCTATATTGAAAGTTCCAGCTTTAAAAATAAAGAATTGCTAAATAAGCGTATTTGAATACGTCTACCAACCAAAGCAGTTACCTCTTATTCAAAAGAGAACACATGGCTTGGGCTCCATTACAATTGAAGATTCCGCTGAGTGGTAAGAATTTGCATTTAGTGAAGAGAATAAGTTCAACACAGATGTTCAGAATGGATGAAGTTATTGTTTTTACAATTTAGGGAAGTAAGAGAGGTACCTGAGCCGACATCACACCGGGTAAGGTGTGAGATACGGTGTGAAGCAGCTACAAAATATTTCCAATTCCAATCCAATCTTCGAAGAACTTCAAAAAATCATTTTTTTTTATCTTTTTCAGCTCCTCCTTCTATGCCGTCTTTATCTCGTCAATCGTAGCGTAACGTCGTCCTTTCATGGGCCTCTTCAGTTTAGGGAACAAGAAAAAGTCACAGGGGGCCAGATCTGGGGAATACGGTGGCTGCGGCATCATTAGTGTGTTGTTTTTGGCCAAAAAGTCGCGCAGAAGCAACGATGTGTGAGTAGTTATCGTGGTGCAAAAGTCAATTTTTGTTCTACCATAAATCCGGGCGTTTCTGGCGGAATGCTTCGCGCAAATTGCGCATAACTTGCAGG